CCAGTGGCGTTGACTGCTCACTGCGACTCTTCCTACGCTGACGACGTGGAGACTCAGCGCTCGACTCAGGGTTACTGCTTCAGTCTGGGAGCTGGTGCTGTGTCGTGGAGGTCTACACGGTCGTCGTCTGTGGCTACTTCCAGCGCAGAGGCAGAGATCTACGCGGGTGCCATGTCGGCACAGGAGCTTCGCTGGTTGACCTTCTCGCTCGCCGACCTTGGTGAGCGGCCTCGCTCTGCACCGACCTTGTACGCTGACAACAAGGCCATGATCCTCCTATGTCGAGAGCCTCGACTGGAGAGCAGAGTGAAGCATATTGACGTGAGGTACTTCCTCCTGCGAGAGTTGCAGCGACGCGGCCAGGCTCGACTGGACTTTGTGGCCTCAGAGGCCAACACTGCAGACGTCTTCACCAAGGCCTTGGCGCTTGGTGATCACCACATGTTCTGTGTGCAGTTGGGGCTTGTTGAGGTAGGCCCTCGGTTGCTGTAGTCTTGTTGCTTGCTCTGCTTGTTGTGTTTTCCTATTTATATCCTAGTGAACTCTTGAACTGGCCTTGTGGCCGCTTGCCTGTGCTCGGAATTTGTGTGGTGTCCTTGAGATCCACCCTGAGCTTGCCTTGCTTCTTGCCTTGACTTGTCTTGTGACCTTTTGTTTCACCTTGCTTGCTCTGATGTCCCTCAATTAGCCTATGGGGGTGTGTCAAATGTTAATGTTATGATAGGCTGCAGTGAGGTACTCCCTAGAGAGTATAGCTTTTGTAGGATTCCTATTTGTACCCTTGCAAACCCTAATCCCAATCATTCCGTTGCATTCCTATTCTGAGAGGCAGGTACTCCAGCTCGAACTGGCTGTCCTCAAGGACGTCACAGCCAAGGGCAAGCTCACCCCCGACGGACAGAGGACACGAAGAGACAGAAACGAGACCAGCAAGGTAGGCACGGCGGCAAGTAGCGGCAAAGCCTGCGAGCTCAGCTACTAAGGCAGAAGCAGCAGCAGGCGAAGGAGCAGGTGCAGTCACAAGGGCGACTAGACAACAAAGGATAGTCGGACGAGCAGCACGAGCAAGGTCAGACACAGGGTCAGGAACAGCAGGAAGAGAAGACGGGGGAGGTAACGGCAGGACAACAGGCTCCCGAGTAACACGAGACGGAGTAGGGGAGGCAGGCGGCGGAAACAACAGAAGAGGAGTAGTACAAGTGGGCGTCGGCTCAGGTAGCCACGACGACGGCTGCTCAAAGAAGATAGACTGCCGTGGCAGCGACTGCAACGCACCCCCAGACCCAGCACCTCTAGCGCCAGTACCTCCAACTCCACCAACAAGAGGACTCCTAGCACCCCCAGAGGCAGCACCCCCAGAACTAGCACCCCCAGAACCAAAACCCTCAGCGTCACCACCCCCAACAACACCTGGGCCCCCGAAGTCCACAGCGACAGGCTGCAGAGGAGGCGAACACGTCAAGGGCGGAAAACCTGGAGGCGTCTCCAAGCGCGGTGAGTGGCGAGAGGTCGCTGTGTCGGCAGCAGTAGGGTCATCCCCCTCGGTCGAGCCAGAGGAGGCAGAGGGGACTACGAGACACGGGAGAACAGTGGAGGGGTGCGCATAGACCGTGCTAGTAGGCGCACAAGCAGCGACACACAATGGCTCTAACTCCTGGTGCCCGCCCCTGCCACTCCTGCCAGCTCCACTACGACCCTCGTTAGCTACTGTGGTGAGGTCTGACAGCGCAGGGAAGGTAAGAGGCAGCGCAAGACAGCCTAGGACTGCAGGAGGGGGGGGGGGGAGTAGCGCCTAACCACAGCGAAATACAAAGCATGGGCCGACGGCACCTGACTCCTGGGGAAGAAGGCTCGCTGGTCGAACGAGAGGTGAAGGCGGACTGCAAGTGAGGCGGCAGCGTCTCGCGCCATCCACCGGTTGTAGGCAAGGTGAGCTGCGCGGAACTGCGTCCGCTCCTCCTCCTCAGCGTCAGCAGTAGGTTCAGCAGGAGCCTCTGGGGCCGAAAAGGACCCCGGCGTGTGCTCGAACTGGGAGACGTTGTCCCGTTTGACACTCCGGAGGTACAGGTGCAGCCCCTCTAGCCAGGAGTCAAACCCTAAAGGTTGCCCCACTACGTCAAAGGCTAGAACAGTGGGAGTCGCCATATCAGCACGAACGGCAGCAAGAAGCAGGAGTGGCAGTTACGGCAGCAGCGGCAACACAGGTGGGAGCAGCAGCGCAGGCAGCAGCAGCAGCTCAGGCGGCAGGAGCAGCCTAGCAGCAGCATCGCAGGCGGGAGCAGCAGCTTAGCAGCAGCACCAGTGCACCAGCAGCAGTACAGGTGGCAGCAGCAGCGCAGGCGGCAGCAGCAGCTCAGGCGGCAGCAGCAGCGTAGCAGCAGCAGCAGCAGCAGCTGAGCAGTAGCAGCAGCGCAGTAGTAGCGGCAGCGCAGGCGGTAGCAGCAGCAGCGCAGCAGCAGCAGCACAGGTGGTAGCAGCAGCGCAGGCGGCAGCAGCAGCCTAGCAGCAGCAGCAGCTGAGCAGTTGGAGCAGCGCAGCAGTAGCAGCACAGGTGGCAGCAGCAGCCTAGTAGCAGCAGCAGCAGCGGCACGAATGCAGGGGGCAGGGCAGCACTAATGCACGGAGCGGCTCGGCTTAGCAGGACGGCTCGAGCAGCAGCAACAGGGCAATAGCAGCAGTGCAGCAGCAGCAGCAGCGCAGACGGCAGCAGTAGCTTAACAGCAGCAGCAGCAGCTTAACAGCAGCAGCAGCGCAGGCGGCAGCAGCAACTTAATAGCAGCAGCAGCGCAGCAGCGCAGCAGGGCAGTAGGGCAGCAGTACAGCAAGAGCAGCAGCGCAGGCGGCAGCAGTAGCTTAACAGCAGCAGCAGCAGCTTAACAGCAGCAGCAGCGCAGGCGGCAGCAGCAACTTAATAGCAGCAGCAGCGCAGCAGGGCAGTAGGGCAGCAGTACAGCAAGAGCAGGGCAGCAGTAGCAGCTGTAGCAAGTGCAGTAGTAGCAGCAGCAGCAGTAGCACTAGCTGTAGAACAGTAGCACTAGCAGTGACAGCTCGGGCTGGGCGGCGCGGCTCGGGCGCAGTGGCAGAGCAGCAGCGGCACGTAGCAGCAGCAGCCGGCGCACTAGTGCAGGGGGGGGGCGCGGGCTGTGGGCTAGCAAACCAGGGGCGCGCAACAAGTGCGCGCGGAGCAGCCCAAAAAGGGCGCGCAGCAGGTGCGCGCTAGGGGCTGGCAGGCAGCGTGAGTGGCGCGCGCAGCAGCAGGAACGAGGGGGGACCGGGCGTAGGGGCTGACGGGCCGCGCGAGTGGCGCACGGGGCAGCTAGGGCGCGGCCAGGAGGGGTCGCACGTGACTAGGCAGAAGAATCGCGCCAAGGGCAGCTAGGGGACGGGACGCGCCTAGGGCAGAAAAACCGTCTCGCCTAGGGCGCGTTTCGCGTTTCGCGTTTCTCCTAGGGGCGCGACTCGGGCAGCAGATCGAAATTGTTAGGTGGGCCCGTTTAAAAATTCGGTCCTAAGGACCATTTCGCTCTTAATACCATGTTAGAATCCCAACCACTAGACCATTGGGATAAAATGGCTTGTTAAGTAGCGGGTCAGTGCGCCCATAACCCCCCAGGCCAGCGAGCCTGTAACCCTTCCCTAGGATCAATCGGGCATCCACAGTGCAGATCTACTGACTCCCCCCCACACTGGGAGGCCCAGGACTGAGCACAGTGGCAACGGCCTACATGTGCATACACCGGGATTCGAACCCGAGACCGCTCTGATACCATGTCGAGATTGGGTAGGAAGGAATGATTGAATTAGGTAAGAGGGAGGGGGTACAAAGATGTCGAGAGAGTTGGGTTGTACCCTCTAAGGTGTGACCCCTACACAACCTAGAGTAAGATGAACAGAACAATATATTTTGACAGACGAGTCAGAATCACACTCCCAAGGTCGAACACAGAGATTCGACCTTTTAGGGAAGGCGGCGAGCCGCCTGTAGGGAGTGTAGGTTACCTGGTACAGCGCGACACGTCAACGTACCAGGCAACGAAACTCCACGACCTTCGCAAAGCAGTCGTAATTTTTGCATGGCATTCGTACGTGCTGAAAACAACACACACTCGCCTCGATGTGCATTCGCACGTTCACCCGTGTGATTCGAGTTGAGTTCACATTTGACATTCGCACTTATGTTCCCCCAAACTTCTCATGCCTTCGCTAAAGCTTCTTAGCGACATTGGCGAAGCGGGTAACCACTCAAAGTTCGACCTTTTTTTCCGAACTTGAAAATAGATCACACGCGCCCTAACAAACTGTATGGTGTCATTGATTGCATAAAATACAGTTATGTTAGGAAAATGAGCATAATTACACAAAGAGCAAGGCAAGCAGTTATTTTCAAATGCGAATCTATGCAATGCAGCGCCTAAACAAAGCTGACGATTTCTTAAAAAAAAAAAAAAAAAAAAAAAAAAAAAAAATGGAGCATTTGAGATGATACCAGCATTGTACACACGGAAAGGAGAGGACACTGTAGCTCTCCCCCTCCCTCCACGCTGCTTCTGTATGGGAAGCTGCTTGTTTCCTGCTGAAAATGCAAGTGATTTGCGGTTCACGGACTGGCTTCGCTTGCGTGCGCTGCTATGTTGCTCCCTTCTTCTTTTGTGCCTTCAGATTGCCCCACACATCGTCATCATCATCATCGTAATCCCCTACCCCACCACCACCAGCATTACCATCATACTTATCATTCCCACCAGACCCAAACCCATCACCATATCCACCACCACCACCCAATCCATACTCTTCCCCCCCCAGACCTCCCCTTCCCGCTCTTCCCTCTCCCTCCCCATGCCCATAACCCTGCACTGCCGCTTCCCCACCAAGTCGCTCCTCCTCCTCAGGTGCAGCCACAGCAGCGGCGGCGGCGGCAGCAGCAGCAGCAGCCCCGTCAGCACCGCCACCAAACGACCCTCTCACCAGCCGATCTCTCCATTTCTTCGCCTTTACACCGGTCAGCGGGCTTTTACTAGCTGCTGCTGCCACTGCCGCTGCCGCTGCAGCCGCAGCCGCAGCTGCAGCCGACGCCGCAGAGCGAACGCTTTTCCCCTCCCCTCCCCCACTCCTCCCTCCTCCTCCCCCTCCTCCTTCTCCCTCCCCAACCGTTCGCCGGCCAGAAACGCGAGGAGTCCCAACCGTCTGCCCTTGATACGCATGATCCGAATCCAATCCCCGATCTCTCCGCCGCTCCTTCTCACTCCCTCCTTTCCAGAAGCCTCTCTTTGGAGTGGCAGGGGCAGGGCTGCTTGTAACAGCCTCAGCAGCAATATTGAGTGCCGAACCACTTAGGCTCACACTCCTCTGCACCTTACGCCGCCTCCCTGCTCCCTCTGCCCCGCCTCCGCCCCCCCGCTCCCTCTCGCTCTCCCTCTCACCCCGTCTGCTGCTGCCCCCAGAAGAGGCACCAGCGCCGGCTTTACCAGCAGCGGAAGAGGCGAGCATGGTGTGTTTGAGGTCTTCTAGAGCTGGTAGCTGCGCCAAGGGATCAGAGTCCGACCATCCATCATCTGCAGCAGCAGCTCCGTTTGCAGTGCCAGCGCCAGCGCCAGTGCTATTACCAGCAGCAGCCCGGCCAGCAGCGACGAATGCTGCTGCCGCTGCAGCCGCCGTAGCAAGATCAGCATCTGATTCACCCCACAGGCTACCGCTGCTGTTCACTCGCGCCACCCCGCGCTCCTCACTATCTGCACGCGTCACCACCCCTCCCTCGCTCCAACTCCGCTCCACAAACACCCTCCTGCTGCTGCTGCTGCTGCTGGAAGCGCCGGGAGTGCCGGGAGTGCCGGCTCCGCTGCTGCTGCTGGTGGTGGTGGCGCGGTTGCGGGAGAGAACGGCAGTGACCATGCGCAGAGGCGAGCGGGACATGCGACCGCTGCTGCTCGTGTCTAATGCCACCGCCTTAAGCCTCCCACCTCCACCCCCGCCCGCACCCCCGCCCCCACCAGTGCTCGCGCCTCCGCCCCCGCCCCCCATCCCACTGCTACTGCCCCCCAATGCGCCCTTCTTGCTCTTCTCCTTCCCAGCCTCCCACCAGTCGGCCCCTGTCTGCCCACCACCTGCTCCTCCTCTGCCTGATGCTCCCCCCTTCCCGCCCCTCTCTGCTCGCTCGCCCTCTCCCGTCCCTCTCTCTCCCAAACCTGCAAATCCCCCGTCGCCTCGTCCTTCCCCTCTGCCATCGTCTGCACTCCCTGCTGCTGCCAGCCCATGTTCAAACTGCCTTGCTGTTTCAGTCTCTCTCCCGTCTCTCCCGTCTCTCCTCTCTGTCCTTCTCGTGCTCTTGCCTGCCCCTTCACCCGAACTGAGTATTCTCGGAACATCCTCCCATCCTGACCCCCTCCTCCCTTCCCCTACACCCATCTCCACATACTCATGCATGTCCCCCTTCTCCCCCTTGTCGCTCTTCCCTCCCTTCTCCCCCTTCCACCCCCCTTTCTCCCGCGTCCTCTGCGCCTTTGCCCTCTCCTTCTCCCTCTCCAGCTCCCTCTCTCTCTCCCGTTCCCTCTCCCTCTCCTTCTCCTGAGCTTCTATCTGCTGCAACCTCCACGCTCTCCTCTCTGTCATGTCTTCTTTCACCTTCACCACCATACCCCCCCACCCCTCCACAGACGCACTACTAACCCCCCTGCTCGCCCCCCCTCCATACTTCGCCAAAAACTGCTCATCCGTCTCCTCATACCCCCCAATCCCACCCCCGTCACCACTCCCTCCATACCCTCCCCCACCTTTCCTAAAGCTCCCGCCCCCGCTGCTGGCTGTAGAAGAGTCGAGGGACCGCGGAGAGAAGGTGGAGGAGGAGGAGGGGTTGGAGGAGACGGAGGCGGGGATGGGGTCGGAGGGCGCGAAGGGCCCTGAGATGGGCTCCTCTACCCCGCATATGCGGCACAGGCCCAGAAGAACGTCTATGAGAGCTGCGTCTACTGCCTCCTTGCATGCGTAGTAGAACGTCTGGTGGTGGTGGGGGGGAAAGTGGAAGGAGGGGTGGGTTTGGAAAAGGTACGGTTGACACATGACACACGCGGTGCTGTGGGATGGGCCTAGGAGCACGTCTATGAGAGCTAAGTCTACTGCCTCCTTGCACGCGTAGTAGAACGTCTGTCGGTGGTGGTTAAGGGAAGGGAGATAGTAAAAGAGAGAGGGAGGGGAGGGTGCATGGATGATGCATGAAGGCTTGCGAGTGTATAAGAAAGAAACTGACTACACCAACCACCCACACGCCTGCTCACCCAACCACAAGCCACCAACACACCCACCAACCCACCCACCCAAATACGAAGCCACGAGAGAAGAAGCATAGGAGGCACAAGGAAAACAAAAAACAAAACGCACCTGACCCAACCAACCACCCATGCACGCACCCACCACCCCAACCACCCACCTGCACTTGGAAAACCACTTCATCGTCCCCCATGAGCGTCCCCGGCGTGTGCAGCGACTGCCAGAAGATGGTGTTGTGCGCCATGGTGGGCAGCAGCAGCAGCCGACGCAGGAGAGGCAGAAGAGACAAGAGGAACAAACAAAAAGTACCACCCATGCACACAACCAGCCACCCACACCCACCAGCCAAATACCAACCCCCCCCCACCCCCTCTCCCACCCACCTGCACTTGAAACACGACTTCATCGGCGCCCATGAGCGTGCCCGGCGTGTGCAGCGACTGCCAGAAGATGGTGTTGTGCGCCATGGTGGGCAGCAGCAGCAGCCCGCGCTTGAGGTTCGACTCTACGCGCCCGTCCGGGAGGAAGTTCTCGGGGTCCTGCAGCTGGCAGCGCAGCGCGTGCTGTATGCTGCGCGGTAGCATGTCGTACAGCTCGTCCCTGGGGGAGGGAGAGAGGAGGTGGCAGAGGGAGGAAGGGAGGGGGTGGAGAAACTGTTGTATAACTGTGGTAGAAACTATGGGGTGCTTCTGGGTCCTGCAGCTGGCACCGCAGCACGTGCTGTATGCTGCGCGGTAGCATGTCTTACAGCTCGTCTCTGAAGGGGGGAGGATGGTTGGTGCAGGGGAGAGGGAAGGAGGGGAGGGACGTGGGGGAAAGGTTCGCCTCCACGCGCCCGTCTGGAAGGAAGTTCTCGGGGTCCTGCAGCTGGCACCGCAGCACGTGCTGTATGCTGCGCGGTAGCATGTCGTACAGCTCGACCCTGGCGGAGGAAAGGGAGGGGGGTGTGGTGGAAACGTGGTGGGACACGGCACTGTAGCGCGTGCTGTACGCTGCGCGGTAGCATGTCGTACAGCTCGTCCCTAGGGGGGTCATGGGTGGTGCAGGGGAGTCGGAGAGAGGGGAGGGATGGGGAAAGGTGGGGGGTTCGGGGAGGTTGGGTTGGAGTTGATCGAACGAGGCAGGCAGCAGCTGGGCAGCAGAGCAAGCAGGCAGTTTTGTGGGTGCTTCTCCTGAATGCCATGCCATACAGCCCTCCCCGGTATGTACCACCACCCCTGCACACCTGGTGGGGCCCATGACAGCGTCTGGCTGCTGAATAATCCTTTCCAGCAGCACCACCACGTTGGCGTAGTGCAGCGCTAGACCCCACGCGCCCAGCGACCCCACTGCCAGCGACGGCGCCGAGGGGGACGCGGAGGAGGGCGGCGGGCCGAAGGAGGCGAAGATGCGGCAACGGATCATGCAGAGTGCCGCTACTATCAACTGGGGGTGGGGCGGGGGGGAAGTGGGAGGCAGGCGAGGAGGGAAATTTCGAGATGTGTCAAAAGCCGAAGGACGCGAAGATGCGGCGGCGGATCATGCAGAGCGCCGCTACTATCAACTGGGGGTGGGGACGGGGAGGAGGGAAACGGGAATGGGGAGTAGGAAAATGGGGAGGGAGTTTATGTGTGCGGGAAGGGGCATGGGCAAGGGGTAAGGGGCGGCAAGAGGCAAAGAGCAAGAGGCAAGGGGCACGGGGCATGGGGCATGGGGCATGGGGAAAGGGGAAAGGGGGACAGAGGCACAGGACGAGGAAGAAGGCAGGAAAGACAGAGGGGTGAGCTTTGGAGCGGTGGGTGTGGTGGGAGATGGGAGGTGGGAGATGGGAGATGGGAGATGGGAGATGGGAGGTGGGAGGTGGGAGGTGGGAGATGGGAGATGGGAGATGGGAGATGGGAGGTGGGAGGTGGGAGGTGGGAGGTGGGAGATGGGAGATGGGAGATGGGAGATGGGAGGTGGGAGATGGGGGATGGGAGATGGGAGATGGGAGATGGGAGGCAGGAGATTGGAGGCAGGAGGCGGCACCTGCAGCAGGTAGTCGAGGTCAAAGGACCAGAGGCAGTGCGACTGTAGCTTCTCCACTGACTTGCCCTGCTTGCATGCACACACACAGGGGGGGGGGAAGGGGAGAGAGGGCGACAAGCAGGGGACGGTGCGTCAGATGGGCGGGGGAAGGGTTGCCCTGGTGGTGGTGCAGGTTGTTGTTGAGAATTCTCAAAAACAGCGTGAAACATGTCAGTCAATAGGCATGCGATCAGGTCACAGCATGGTACACAACGGTTCAAGGGGATGCGGGTGGGAAGGGAGGAGGGGAGTGAGGAAAAGGCACGAGGGGAGTGGTTGTGGTCTCTGTGCGGAGGCGGGGGCAGGAGGGCGCGTGTCACTGTCACCTGAGCCACGTGGCGCAACCTGGATGGATGCACATGGCGTGGACAACACACAGGCCGAATCTGGGTCGCCATGCCATACCTGCCGCGCTAACATGCCATACCTGAGCCGCCATGCCGTACCTGAGCCGCCATGCCGTACCTGAGCCACCATGCCGTACCTGAGCCGCCATGCCGTACCTGAGCCACCATGCCGTACCTGAGCCACCATGCCGTACCTGTGCCACCATGTCTTGCAGCTTGTTCCACTCTCCATACTCCTGAATGCTGCCACAGGAACCGAGGCAAGGGCGGACGCAACGGGCTGGTCAGGGAGGAGAAGTATACCGGGTACAGGCCAGGCCAGAAGGGAAAGGTGTGAGGGACGAGAGGAATTGGTGACAAAGAGCGCGCGTTGTAGCGGAGGAGACGTTGAGAGGAAGATTAGGGGAGGGGTCGGGATGAGGGAAGAAAGTGTTGGATTGCGCACGTCATGAGCCATGTAGTGTGCGTGTGTGTGTGCGTGTGTGTGTGCGGGCACGCACACTTGTGCGGATGTGCTGTGTGTGTGCGTGTGTGTGTGCGGGCACGCACACTTGTGCGGATGTGCTGTGTGTGTGCGTGTGCGCGCGCGCTTGGGCATGTGCACGTGTGCATGTGTGCATGTGTGCATGTGTGCATGTGTGCATGTGTGCATGTGTGCATGTGTGTGTGTGTGTGTGTGTGTGTGTGTGTGTGTGTGTGTGTGTGTGCATGTGCGCATGTGTGCATGTGTGCATGTGTGTGTGTGTGCATGTGTGTGTGTGTGCATGTGTGCATGTGTGTGTGTGTGCATGTGTGCATGTGTGCATGTGTGCATGTGTGCATGTGTGTGTGTGTGCATGTGTGTGTGTGTGCGTGAGAGTGTGCATGGTCACCGGTGGTGCAGCTGTTGAATGGCTTCCATCTCTGACTTGAGACGCTCTGTGGCCTCCGCTTGCTCCTTCATGAACCTGCCATGCATAGCATTGCATCGCATCAAGCTTCCTCAGTCCGCCGCTCAAAACCTATCCGAGAAGAGAAGCACACCTACTAGATGAGGAGAAGGCGCTGGTGGATAGTAAAGCTATCCGACCGGCGTCACCCGGAACACAGCAAAGTGATAAGGGGGGTCGAAATCAAATCAAAACACAGCAACGACAGGAACTCTTTGAGCCGACTCAGAGGCAGGCATGCGTACTTGACGAGTGAGTCGGCTTCAGCGGGGGAGACAGCAAAGTGCGAGAGGTCGGAATCAGGGGAGAGCAGCAGCGGGAAGAGGTCTCCCAGCGTGTGCAGGCGTGCACTGCGGCACTTGCGCCCCAGCACTGCCACGCGCGCCGCCACCCGCTGCAACTCCAACAGCTTCTCCACCCCTGCGCGCAGGGGGTGACGTGACATGCGGGGACGTGGGGGCGGAAGAGGGGAGGGAGTGGGTAAGGAGAGGGTGGACTGAGTCGAGTGGGAGCGGGGGCAGCGGGAGAGGTGGGAGCGGGGGGAAGGGGTGGGAAGGGAGGGCAGGCGGAAGGGTGGAGGTGCGGAAAAAGGAACAGTCATGGCATGGCATGGCGGGACATGGCGGGTCATGGCGGGGCATGGCGGGGCATGGCGGGTCATGGCGGGGCATGGCGTGGCACGGCGTGGCAGGGCATACCTGCGAGGTTCCAGAGCAGTCTGAGGTCACTGGAGATGAGGGTCACCACTCCCGGTGCCTGCACAGCACCGCACCGCACAGCACAGCACGCAGACACACCGGGGTGAGGCGAGGAGGGAAATGGAGAAGGGGGGAGAGGAGAGGAGAGGAGAGGAAAGGAGAGGAGAAAAGCACAAAGGTGAACGGCTTCCTTGGAAGATGGCTCACACGGTTTGGGGACAACGGGATCAGGCTTGGGACAGATAGAGGGACGAAAGGCAGAAAAACGCGAGAAGAAGGGGAGAAGAGCGAGTGAACAACAAGTGCTGGCAAATGAAACGCATCCAGCAGACTGACTATCCGTTCCCGTCGTTAACTTGTGTTGAAACCTCTCAAAACTATTCGTGCGGGCGGGCGGTATACCTGGAGGTTGGATCGCAGGGAGGCAAGTGTCTTCTCGCCCATGCAGTCATATATCTCCAGCGACCGTCTCATCACACTGCCTATCTCAAACGCCAGTACCTCCGTCTTCACACTCCCCCCGCCTCCCCCTCCCCCTGCGCCGCCTCCGCTCCCCACGCTCCCCCCTCCCCCGCCGCCCACTCCCCAGAACCCCTTGAAACCACCCCCCGGATGAGGCGGAAACATCCGCTTGACCATTTTTTTCAGCTGCCCGTCGCCTAGGCTTATCAGGGACGGTGAGCCTAGTCGGAGGGGGGACGAGTCCTGAAGCCCGAACGACCATTTTGCGGAGTCTCCCCCTCCCCCTCCCGTTCCCCCTCCGCCTACGCTCTTCCCCTTGGCTCCACCGCGCCCGGGGCTCATCAGAGCGCCCCCGGGCATGCGCCATCCGGGGCTGGAGGGTGCGGCGAGCGGAGTCCCGATGCGCTTGCTGCTGCTGCTGCTGCCGCTGCTGTGCTTGTTGCTTCCGCCGCCGCCGCCGCTATTATTACTGTGGGATCCGGACGAGCCGGGGGAGGCGGAAGGGGAGGTAACCGCGCTCCGGTGCCGTTGCTTCTGGTCGTTGCCAAGCGGGGGAATGCCGCTCCGCGCACTACCGCTTCCGCCACCACCGCTATCCCCGTCCGCGTCGTCAATTCCCCCCGCGCCCGGGGATTCCGCGCCATCCGCCTCGTGGGCGGAACCCCGCGGGCGGCGCTGGCTTTTGGGGGTAAGGAGCTGGTTGATGTTCTTATACATGATTAGGGAAAACTTGCGCGGTTATGACTATAACGCACGTGTCATGTAAACGCGTTTTAGAGGGTATACCCAGGGCGAAGGAAGAGAGGAGGAGGGGAGAGAGAGAGAAGAGGAGGAAAGCGGCGTTGTTGCCGTGGTAGGCGTTCCTCCGAAGCGAGAAGTTCGGAGGAAACAGGAGCAAGACGTTGACGTTGACGTTGACAATGGCGACAGCGATGGCGATGGCGATGGCGATGGCGATGGCGATGGCGATGGCGATGACGGTGCTGGTGACGAGACAATGGCGAAGCGGGTGACGAAGATGGTGGCGGTGACTCGCTTAATGACGAGATGGGAGGCGCATAGCTCTACCAGCGAAGTCCCGAAACGGATGTTGTTGTTACCAAGCTGTTAGCAGTTAGCAGCTAGCTTGGCATGAGAGGTAAGGAGGTCGTGAAAGCGAATACAAGGTATGGCTCGAGCATCGCACTGGCGAAAGATCTCTCCGCAGTGACCGCCGAAATCTTTGAAGCGGCGTTGATGGCCGTAAGAGGTGCATGGCTCCCGTTCTTAGTAGAGTGCTCTTGGAAAGCGAAGAATGGTCTAATTCGCGTTCGTCTGGCGAATGTCGAAACCAGGAACAATGAGTCTATAAGATCCTCATAAGGTGGCCATTAGGAAGTATCGACACTTTCTCGGATGTGCTCATTACAGGAAGTCGCAATGTAAGGAAGCAAGGATGTCAATCAGGTAGAAACAAAAAATCACAAGTCGTAGCTTGTTGAAAAGTCTTAATTTGGAAAATGGATGACACTAGTCGGCGCCGCACATCGTGCTCACAAGGCGAATCACGAGACGCTATCTCCTACCTATCGAGCTTCGCGGAGACGCTTCCCGTGTATATTTCGAACGGGAGGAAGGAAACGAATGTAGTGAAGCTGATAGATTCGCGACGGATAAAAGCTGGTCGGGTGCGAGAGTGGGAAATGGCGGCTGGATGTGGGAGACAGCAGAAAGGGAGGGAGAGGGAGGACTGTGAGAAGCAAGAGGGACGAACAGCATTTGTTGCTCCGCGCAGCAGCATTCTCTCATGCGGACGGCCCGAGGGGAAGCACGGGGAAGAGGGGGACGGGGGGAAATACACAGTACAGCGAGGTAGCGGGAGCGGGGAATTGGGGGACATGGGCGGGAGAATGCTGGGTTGAGCGGGGAAGAGGCGGGGTGGGGCAAGGGGAGGACAGGGCAAAGTGGGGGACGGGTTGGTGGGGTGGTGGGGTGGTTGGTTGGGTGGGAGGGAGTGAGGGTCAGATGGCCTCTACGCAGGAGGACTGGGCGGTAGAGTCCAAAAACATGAAACGATAGCAATGGGTCCAAAGGTTTCTGGGTAAGTTAACACTGTCGTACCGTCGACAGTCAGGCTACAGTACAGAATTGCTCCAAGCGAAAACGAAAAAGAAACCCGTTACGTTACAGTACGCCCAACAACCGCCAGCAACACTCGATCGAGTGGTCTGTACCACCATGACGCGAGACTGTGGGTACTGTGATGTCATTCATGGGCGCTGTTCTTTTGGCAAAAAATGGCCTTCCTGGATTCTTCCATCCGCACCAGTGGTGCGTCGGTTCTGGTTGGGCATTGTCCGAAGCTGGGCGCATCAAGAAAACCGAGAAAACCTGCAGAACAGCACTTTTGTGACACTGTACCAGAACCGTCCGTTTGTTCCACGCCATTTCCTCTCCAGGCAAATGGTCCGCACCACTGGTGCGACCTCTCGAGGTGAAGGTGCTGTTCTCTTGGAGTTCTCATCGCCGCACCGTTGGTGGTTTGGTAAATTTCGTATTAACTTCAGGTGCCTTTTTGGTTGACTTGGCAACACAGGAAGGTTCAGTTATAACCGAGGTAAACTTCTCGTTTGAACAGCTCAGCCGAACTCGGGTCTGCCCTTTTGAACACGGTCTGGCGAAATGAGAACCGAGGGTGACTCTTCCCCACTTCGTACCTCCTCCCACATTGGTGCCTTGAATTCATTCTCGTAGATTTTCAGCTGCAAAAACGAGAGAAGATTTTCTTGAATTTTGAGCGCGGTCAATTGTTGGGCGTTCAAGCCTACCACGAGCAAAGAATTGGGCTGATGGTTTCTGCCCCGCACCAGTGGTGCCGAGGTGATTCCACCTCGAGAGGTCGCACCAGTGGTGCGGACCATTTGCCAGGCGAGGAAATAACATGGAACAAACGCACGGTTAAGGTACAGTGTCACAAAAGTGCTGTTCTGCAGGTTTTCTCGGTTAAGTTGATGCGCCCAGCTTCGGGGTTCACCCAACCTGAGCCGAACTATTATAAGCGGACCTTTGATGTGGAAAGAAGCTTCCGAGATGGCCGTTTTTGGCCGTTGTGCGCCAGAAGAACAGCGCCGAAATCACCTCCGCACCACTGGTGCGGGGCAGAGACCAGCAGCCCATTTTTTTGCTCGTGGTAGGCTTGAACGCCCAACACTTGACCGCGTTCAAATTTCAAGAAAATGTGCTCACGTTATTGCTGCTCGATACTCTTTCATATGTGACTGATCAAGAAATCCGTATCGTTGCCTTTACCAAGATGAGTTACCCTCGGTTCTCATTTCGCCAGACCGTGTTCAAAAGGGCAGACCCGAGTTTGGCTGAGCTGTTGAATCGAGAAGTTTACCTCGGTTAAAACTGAACCTTCATGTGTTGCCAAGTCAACCAAAAAGGCACCTGAAGTTATTGCGAAGTTTACCAACCCACCAACGGTGCAGCGACGAGAACTCCAGCAGAACAGCGCCGTGGAGTACAGTTCTGTACAGTGTACAAACGAACTACACCAGGCAAAACAGAATAAACAGAATATGGTGTGGTGTACAACCCTTTCCTAGTTTGGGAGTTTTCCCCACGCAATCCCGGTTTGGGCAGGATACGTACAGTCCAATGGGTCCAGGACACTTCGGACACAGTGCGGATCCTTTCACCTGTATGGAGTGGATATCCCTTCTCTCACGTAACTGCAGTGTGGATATCCCAGCAGCGCTATCCCTCCGCTCCACCTGCCCCAATCTCACAACCGATTGCAACAATCAGGCAAAATGTCGGGTTGTCCAAATGTAAAGTCTCGGCAGTCGGTTTGGAAACAGCTGCGTGACTCTGCCGTGTCGGGTAGCGGGTGTTTCCGCGCACGTGACGACCGCTGGTTTGGGGTAGCTGTCTTATCTCCCTGGAAACTGCTGATTTTAGAAGGCTTCATCACTCTTTTACACAAAGACACCGACACTTGCACTAAGAGAAATTTTCTTCACCTGTGCACATACGTACCAATATGTATCTACATACAGGCAGTTATTCGCATGGAAACTGAACAAGGCATATTATTTCAATATTCTCTAGTGTTGCTTCTCCTGTGATACAGGGCGAATTTGAGCCAGCATGTGATGCAATCTAGTCTACTTGCCCCATGTAACGAGGCTTGCTCTTTAGCTCCTGCTTTACCTTATCCAAGACTGTGACCGGCCGCCGCTGGGCTCCTCTTATGAGATTCAGCAGCTCCTGGGCCTGAAGGGAAAGTTGAGAAAGGCAATTACGGTACAAGGGTGGGACACAGGGCAAATTAGTCATGATGAGGTAGCAACACTAAAGGGCATTGCCTGTCATCCCCCCTTTCTTACTCCTCTTACCCACTCTCTCTCATGCACGCACACACACATACCTCACCCCGCACAAACACTCACCTTAGACCGTGCTCGGTTGCTCTGGCCCGCCCCATTCACAATCTCCAGCAGAGACGGCAGCACCGCTTCCGCCACTATACCCTTGAGCCACTCCCCTTCCGCCCGTGCCAGCAGCAGCAGCGCCGCACCCGCATTCTCCCTCCCCAGCATCGTCCCATCCTCCAGCACCCTCCCGAGCACTGCAATCCCGCCACTCTCCACAATCGCCTCTTGCCCTTCTCGCACCGCAGCCAGTGATGTGAGCAGCAGCACACAATCATCTGCAAGCATGGACTTGGAGTCTTGCTCCCGCACCACAGACAGCAGGCACGGCACAGCACACGCTGCCACAATCAAGGCTTTGTTCGGCCGGTACACTGAGAGGTAGTAGAGCACGCGGAGAGAGATGCTGTGCGGTGGGAGGGGGTGCGGAGGGGTCGGGGCGACGTGGAAGGAGAAGGAAGGGGAGTTGAGGGGGAGTGTGGGGCAGGAGGAGGAGAAGAGGCGGACGAGAGGGGGGATGGCTCCCAGGCGCCCGATCTCTTTCTTCATGTCGTCGCTCTTGGCAAGGCTGAAGAGAATGGCAGCTGCATGCTCCTGGATGGAAAACGAGGTCTCGTTGCCGCTGCCGTAGCTGCTGCTGCTGCCGCTGCCGCTGGCGAGAACACCAAGGGAGCCTTGTATCGCACTGGCCAGGCGACGATGACTGGTGGATCCAGGGGAGCCCACACCGCGGGGAGCAGGATCAGGATCAGGAGCAGGAGATCTAGCACTAGTGCCACTGTGTAGTGCGGCATGGGCCATAGCAGCAGCTGTTCTTCCGTCTCCATCTTCACAATCGTCAGCAGCAGCAGCAGCAGCAGCAGACTCGACAGAGGAGAGATTTTCAGCAACGCTCTGATTCTGGTGCTTTGAATCTCTCATGAGGTCAGATCCACGACTGCTGCTCCCAGCAGCACCACCACCTGATATTGCACCTGCACTAGCACGCGTACCTGCAGAAACACCCGCAAAATAACCCTCCCCATGAGAGGAGCCCCTCCTCCTGTGCTCACCTCTCCCACCCACACTCTCACTCTCTCTCTCACTCCCCTCACTGCCTGTATCCCCTTTAATCTCCCCTCCTCCTGCCTCGACAAGAGCAGCTATAACCGGCCCCACCGCCCCTACCGCTTGCAGAAGCTTCCGGCTCACTTCCTCGATCGCCAGATTCCTCACTGCAGCTGCTGCACTTTCCACTAACACCGGGTGCTGCGCAGCTTTTAGCAAAGCGAGCAGCGGCGGGATTCCACCCGCTACTGTGATGTGCTCGCGCCACCGAGCGCTGCGCTTAGCTAAGTGCCGGATGACCTCTGCAGCAGCGAGGATTCCCACTGGGTCTCCCTTAAGCATCTCGCTTTTGAGGAGCTCGACTGGGTCCATTGCTGCCCCTGCTCTTTCTCTTAGAGATCCCTCCACTGCTGCGGCTGCGGCTGCAGCAGCGGCGGCGGCAGCAGCAGCGGCAGTGGTGGTTGCAGCAGCTGCTGCTGTTGACGCAGTGGTTGTTTTGGGAGCTGGAGGGGAAGATGAGAATGAGGAGGAGGACGAGGAGGAAGAGGAGGCGGAGCAGGAGGATGGAGAGGAGGGCACTGAAGAAAAAGACGGGCCAGGTAACAGCTCCTTCACCTGCTCTGTATCATGCTGTGTATCATGCTGTGCATCATGCTGTGTGTCACGCTCCACTACTATTACTGCTGCTGATGCTGTGGCTGGAACTGCTGAAACTGTTGCTCGAGCTCTGGATGGGTTCTTTTGTCTCCCTGCCCTCGGCCTTGCTGAGCGGGACGAGGAGGAGGAGGAGGAGATAGAGGAAGGCGAGGAGAGCGAGGGTGAGAGAGGCGCATCATTGGGTACCCCTGCTCCCACTGCCGTCCCTGTTCCCCCTGCTCCCGCTCCTGTCACTGCTCCCGGTGCTCCCACTGCTCCTGATACCATGACGCCCATCCCCAACTGCTGCTGCATGCCTGTGCTTGCTTCAGCTGTATCTGCTCCCATCGCATCCCCCACACGGACTCCTCTTGTTCCCAATCCCAGCACGAGCTGCCGGCATGGAACATCTCTTCCCAGCACCAGCCCTTCTCCTGCCACATCTCCCCAACCTTCTCCCCTCCTACTCGCCTCTGCCACACCCCCCTTGAATGACAACCCGTCAACCTCTCCTGCTCCTTCTTCTTCCCCCGCATCTGAACCCACAAGCTCATGCCTTGCACCTCCCCCTGCCCTATCGTCCTCGCCCCTCCTGCCCCCTTCCCACTCATGCTGATGAATAAACACAGGTCCCAGGTTTGCCCTATGCGCCATTGCTCCTGGCATGCCGTTGTCCCCCGCTGTTGAACCCAGCACTAGTGCCCCATATGGCAGTGGCAAGTTATCAAACCTACAAGGGTGCTCCGATGGGTGGAGAGGTGGCGCGGTAGGAAACGGTTCGTAGTGGTACGGTAGGGGGTGGGCGGGGAGTGGAGGAGAGGTGGGAAGGATGGGGAGAACGGGGTATTGGTCGGGACCCGAGCGTTCAAAGGAAGGGAGTGATTCGTGGGGAGAGAAAGAGGGAGGAAGTGGAGAGGGTGAGGAAGTAGGAGAGGTGATGGTGATGGTGCTGGTGCTTGTGATGGTTGTGGTGGTGATGTGAAACGCCCCGGAATCATAAGGAAGAGGCACGTGCATGTGTGACCGACCATATGGCCCATGTGTGGATGCTTGAGCAACAGGCATGCTGGGATCTGCTGAAACGAGAGCATGGGCTGCAGCAGCAGCGGGTGAATTGCAGGCCGGTTTGGTGGGTGGATTGTCGGCTGAATCATTCCTCGCATGCATCGCATGCACCTTTTTCTTGGGGCTAGCACGGGGTGAGAATTTGTGGGCGCTGGGAGGACGTAGCGGGGGGAGGAGGGACGAGGGCGGAGGGGAGGATGAGGAGGAGGAGCGAGGGAAGGCTGCGAAAGACCGGGGAGGGGGTGGGGATGAGGTGGAGGAGGAGCGAGGGAAACGGGAGGAAGGGTGGAGGGCGAGAGCAGAAGGTGGCTGGGAAGGGTTATGTGAGGAACGTGCAGGGAGGGAGGGGGGGTGAGAGACGCGGGGCTGAGAGAAGAGGGGATGCTGAGAGGATTGGGGCGGACAGGGAGCATATGCGTTGGACGAGACAGGATCGGGAGGAGCAGGTAACAGCAGGCGCCTCACCCCTGCTGCTGCTTCTCCCCTTCCTTGCGCCCCACCATTGCTCCTGCTGCTGCTGTCGTCGCTGCTGCTGCCATCATCATACACATGGGAGGGTCCGCTGGTGCTAGCAGAGCCCGGTGGTAAGGGCTGCGACACCACCACTCCTGCTGTAGCAGCAGCTGCTGCCGTGGCTGCTGCTGCTGCTGCTGCTGCTGCTGCTGCTGCTGTTGGCATTGGCACAACAGCAGCGCATGCAGGAGACGCAGCCAGGAACAGTGGAACCGTTGCTGCAAAGACAGCCGGAGTGGGAACCCCACTGGAGCTAACCCACAGGCCAGTGGGCACATGGGCAGCAGCACCAGAGGTAGCATTGTTAGCACTAGCGTGTCGCGCGTGGTGGCCCCTCCTTCGCCTCGCCTCCCCCTCCGCCCCATCCCTCCAGTCCCTGCTTTCTCTGCTCCCTCTCACTCTTTGCATCACCTTCCCTGCACTGCTGTACCTCCTCTCTCTCCTCCCTTTCCCTCCCCCCTCCTCCCCCTCCTCGCTCCTCTCCTTCCCTTCCCTTCTCTCAAAACCAGGATTTTTGTTCCTTAACCCTCTTTCCCCCTCGCCTCCTCTCCTTTCCTTGCCATCCCTTCGCTCTTCCCTCGCACAACCATCCCGCCCATCCGCTCCCCTCCTCTCAAATTCTCCCCCCTTCTTATTCTTACTCTCTCTCCCCTCTTCCCCGGCTCTCTCTGTACTCCCTCCTCTCGTCCCCGTTCCTCCTCCTTCCTTGCTCTCTCCCCTTCCCCTCACGCCACCCTCCCCACCTGTCCCCACCTTATAGAACGACTCGTCACAGCTACGGATCCTTCTAGCAGGAACAGGCCCCCCTTTCCCTTTCTCCTCCCCTTTCCCTTCTGACAATTTCCTCTCATCAACCCTCTCCCCTCCCCCCTTCGCCCTCCTTCCCTCCTCCCCGTCTCTCCCACTCGCCTTTTCCTTTGCAAATTCCGTTAGGAACTGCCTCGCTAGCTCGCTTGTGACCCGTGGCTCCACCTTTCCGTGTGGTTGCTTTCTGGAGATGTCTTTGGCAGTGGATACCTCGCCTGCGCATGCAGTGCTGCTCACCCCATTCGCGCTCTCCTGCTTGATTCCCCCCTTGTTATCCCATTGTTGCAAAACGTTTTCCTCCCCCCCTTGATGCTGCTGCTGTTTCTTCTGCTTCTGCTGTTGTTGTTGCTGCTGCAATTGCTGCTGCAGTTGCTGCTGCTGCAGTTGCTGGTGCTGCTGCTGCTCTTGTTGCTGTTGCTGCTGCTGCTTCTGCTGCTGCTCTTGTTGCTTCTTCAACTGCTCTAGTTGCTGCTGCTCTTGTTGCTGCGCCACCTCATGCTGTTTCTGACCCGCGTGTTGCAATACAGCAGCATGCATTGGAGCAGAGGACAGCACAGCCTCACGCCTCTGATCACTCCCAACCGTTCCTCCTGCCAAACCCCTTTCCACTGCAGCGTGCTCCTCCCCCTCTTCTGCTTCTGCTCCAGCTGCTTCAATACTGACAGAACCGACACCACCAGGAGATTCAGCTTCTACTGCTTGCCCTCCTCCTCCCCCCCTTCCTCCTCGCTCCTCTCCTCCTCCTCCCGCCCCTCCTTCTCGCTCCTCTCCTCCTCCCGTCCCTCCTCCTCGCTCGTCTCCTCCTCCCGCCCCTCCTCCTCCCTCGTTCCCATTCGACCTACGCCCTCCCATACCCTCCTCCATCCCCCCTCCCGCATTCCCGCTATCGCACCCATGCCAATCGTCTTGCACACGTCCCTTTCCCTGCCCATGCCCATGCCCATGTCCTTGCCCATGCCAATGCCCATGCCCATATCCATATCCATACCCATACCCATATCCACACCCCGAACCCTGCCCTTGCCCATGCCAATAACCATACCCGGTGCTCGCATATCCTGCTGCCCCCATGCCTGACGCTTCCCCCATCCACATCCCTGCACCCATTCCCGCACTCAAACCGGTCCCCATACCCATGCCCATGCCCCCCATGCCCATCCCCGCTATGCTCATTCCTCCAATGCCCATCCCCCCTGCGCCCATGCCTGGCGCAGCCACGTGCCAGCGCGCATCCGCGAAGCTCCCCCCTTCCGACTCCGTGAGCGACCCCGGTTCGCCCGCTCCCCCCGGGCCCAGGCACAGGCTGGGACTGCCCGCTGACGACATGGATTCGAACGACCGGCACTGCGCGCGGACTCCGCCCTCCGCGTCCTCCAACCCGCCTTGCCCCTCTCCATCGCACACCAGGTCACCCCCGTCGTCCTCGCCCGCCTCCCCCTCCACCCAGTCGTTCTCGCCCTCCTCCTCCTCCTCCTCTTCCTCAGCCCCTATGTCTTCCTCTCGCTCTTCAAATCCATCGGCAACCGTTTCCTCCGCCTCCCATCCCTCGTTCTTTTCACCCGCCTTTCCCCCCCTAAGGCTCCAACTCTCGCTGCTCTCGCAACCGTCTCGCTCGGCATTCCCGCCGTCCGTCCTTCCCAGGCTCTCGTTTACTCGCCTACTCGCCTCCGTTACTTCTGTCTCGCCTGCCAGTGTTACGCCTGGCGCGTCTGCTGTCGACGCTGCTGCTGCTTCGAAATGCCTCTGAGAGTACTGACCAGGGTGCATTGTCGCGGGCGATAGTCGCCCGCCACCTCAGACGGAGACGACCTATAATTGGAGATTCTAAAAAATAGGAAAATCAACGGGAATTACTTCCATGTCCTTCCTATAATCTACCGAGAGTCTCTATAAGTGCCTGACAAGATGCCGCCGTCATCGCTGCCGTTCTGCACCGTAGCGAAAAATCCTACAGTAAGCTGTATGCTCAGTCGCAAAAGGTCGCAGTGCGTCGCAATGCGTCGCAGGGGTGATTTTTAGTTGTCGAGCGGACAAAAAACTTTCAGCTGCGCAGGAACTATTTATTCTCGCTGTTCTCAGCATCGACCCCACGATGTTCGTTCTTGCAATGGACATACGCTTCGCAAAGCGCGTTTGCAGGAGATAACTGTAACGGCTAATGTCGAAGGAGAAATAAAAGGTAATAAATACGACAAGGAAAATCACCGGAAATCTTTTTGCATGATGAGTAATCTTGCTAGGGAAGTGAAAGAATGGTGTGCGGAGAATACTTGAGCTCATTGCAGTCTTGCTCTCTTGTGCCAGAGTTTGACCGTCATGTGAAAGGCAGGCCGGGGGAAAGGCAACAGCGCTTTGACACGACACAACCTAGGCAAGACTTTTGTGACGGATGAGAGGTTCGGCCGGTAGGCCCTTGGTCGGACCACACCCAATCAGACCCACTGAAGGGTATCTGGTTTGGGTTCGGCGATGGCGAATTCTTCCTCTCGTTATTTGCGAGAGGTTACTCCGATCTCGCGAGACCAGAATTCCGCTGATTTCGAAAATCGGCAGCCCACCAAAAGCAGAAAACAACAGACGGTATAACACCTAAACTTGTGCAGTCTTTCACACTACAGTTCCAATGCCCTATACCTACTTGTTATGCATAGTAGATTCAATAACTCATGCAAATAATTTCTTCATGAAACACTTTGTGCATCATTACACGAATTTCTCGGCATATCGTCTCCAAACCCTGTTCATATCCATCTCGGAGTCTTGTATTGGATTCTGTTCATTCTGCTATGATGGTAAGGTATTAGGTTTCGGTCCACCTTCCCGAAACATCACATTGTCCCCACAATCACGAAACATCACACTTGCTGTTAATGAAGATGGCTGACATGGTGTATAACCTGATTTAGGGTTTAGTGTCACCTGCTTTACTTGCTGATCGGCTTATGTTCCTAGACAGAAAGAGGAAAAAGGGAAAGAGAGACATCAATGAAGGAGAAGGAAAGGGAGAAGGAAAGGCAAGCCAGCCAATCCTGGAGCGTTCCTCAACCACTATGATGTACTGCCTCCCGTGCTATTGGGGAGCTGAACTAGTGGTGTGTTGGAAAACTTGATAACAATCTCGCTACCTAACCTTTGATCTGCCTTAGAAGACTAATCATAGACCATAAGAATCGTGCAGTTATCATTTATAAACAATACAGCAAGGGGCTTCTCTAGGAAAGCCCGTTTAATTATCCCCTAGTCACAAGCTCCCTCCCAAGCCGCCGCGGTAGTAACTAACCACAAACATCCAAGCCTGAACCTTATTGGAAATGAAGTGCATTCCAGCAAGCACAATGTGCCACGCAACACAGGGAACATCCATCACGGACTAGTTCCGCTCCCCCCAAGCACGTGCCTCCTCACACTCCGGCAAACCCCTCTGGGCAGCTAAATCCCCGTCACTCCTCCTACCATCCCGCTCCCTAGTCACTCCTACTGAACTTGAGAATGGGCTTACCAACATACAGAACAGTCTTGCCTGCCATCGCATTGAAGCAGGCCGCACCAGAAGCATACCAGGCTGGTAAGAAGCACAAAGAGGGTGACAGGATCAAAGGGGGGAAAACGTGAAAAATAGTACAGACTGCGTGGCACACAACAACGCAGTTGCTTCGCTTCTTGCACTCGTATTAAGCGACTCTCAAAGTCAACGAGCCAAACTCAGGGTTTCGCGGAATGAAGTGATGCCTGCCGATGCCACTACAGAACCACTTACCAGCAATGGCAGTGAAGAGGCCGAAGTAGCCGCCAGCCTTGATCCACCCCTCGCCAGGATGCTGGTTGCTGAAATTCCCGATGAAGAGCAGCATCAGGGTGATCTCGAGCAGGCTGAAGACGAGCAGCACGGCATGGCTTGCCATGAGAGCGCACACAGTCATGTAGCTGTTGAAGATGAAGAAACCCGACAGGAACCAGCCAAGAGCCTCAGACACGTCTGTGGCTTGAAGCACCGTCGTCTGCAGTAACAAATGGGAGAGATGAAGGAGGAGCGAAAATATTTAACCCTGTTAGCACGATGGTAAATTATTGGATAAGAAACTTCCAAATTGGTGCCGGGTGCTTCACAAATAGTCGCCGAAGGGGGAATCGGCTGGTACTTACGTAACCGAGAAGCTTGAGAAGAACGAAGAAGGCAAGGCCCATCCAGAAAGCACCATAGGTTGAGAAGGCGGTGGCGCCGAAGGTGTTGTTCTTCTTAAACTCCCACATGCCGGCCAGCAGCTGCGCGAGGCCGCCATAGAAGAACGCGAGGCCGACCCAGATAATGTCGGGAGCCCAGCCGGCGTTGTGACACGAGAGGACGTACGTTGTCAGCGCGAATGCCGCTAGACCAAGAGGGGCCGGGTCGGCGATGGCGCTTTTCTCAACAACCACACGGGCGTCCTCCTTAATATCCATGTCGAATTGGATGTGTGAAAATAATACTTTAGGTGGTCAGATCGCACGGACAAACCTAAGATTGAACAGAGGCGAGTTGGTAACAGACAGGTCAAGCTGGATGTGGAGAACCCGAGGAAGTCCAACTGGTCGAGGAGGTTGTTGACAAGGCCAGGACAGCGGCGGAGAGCCGTCCGATAAAAGAAAGCAAGCCGTGAGCTGAGGTAAGATGAATCAACGACGAAAATTACGGCCGTCTGCAGCTCGAGAATGAAATGATAGGCTCTCGGTTTGGTCGGAGAAAACAAGGCTTACAATTGCTGGCAGTCGGTCCCTTGATATTACCGTCTTATATGCCCTGCGTCTCCTCCATGCCAACCAACGCGGCTCGGCTGGCAGGGCAACAACACAACAACTCCGCCGCTGAAGTCGCCAAGCAATCCTGGGGATGTCCATGTCACCGTCAGCTTGCGGATAGCACAAGGCTCGGCCGTGGCTAGATGAGCTCCGATTGGTTGTCGAGTGATAGGAGGATGCAGAGGCATGATGTGCGACGCGTGAGTGTCCCTGACGTGGTGACGCCAATGCTCAGGACTAAGGGGACAGCGCTCGACTGTTGCGCTGTTTTCGGCAACTAGTGACGTGAGACGGATGCCAGATCACCTAATGGAGGTTTCATCGATATTTCTAGTAGGTGCCCCAGGTCGGTTGGCTGGTGCTGGCATCTAAAATCGCGATAACTCAGTGTTATTGTTTGAAAAGTGTAAGGAAAAATCCTTTTCCTTACTTCGCGTCCCTGCTTACCGCATACTGCCCGTTCCCGCCATCGGCACCCATCCGTGAACGTTACCCGCTCGCGACATTCGCCTCGACCAAGACTCCCGCCACTGTTCACAATGCGACCCAACCTCACGGTTCGGTTGGTAACCCGCACTCCGGACCTCCGCCTCTACAATTCCCAACCTCGGCGCTAGGCCCGTAGCGCACCCCAATTTCCCGCATTACCGTTACCACGCTAGCTTCGCTATATAACTTCGCCCATGCTTTTCGCTCAACTGTATTGTTTTGCTTCGATAGTGCAATTCTCGCTCGCTCGCTCAATTGCACTCGTAGCACTTGGTATTCATAGCCTACGATCTCCTCTCGGACTGCACCCACACCTTCGCTTCCCCACTATCTCAAATTTTGGGGGGGTAGACGTCTCTCAGCGAACAAGCACCGCCGCTCGAAGTGCTCTCTCGTAAGCACGCACGGCCAGGACAGAGGCTCTCGCTGAGCTTGCCCGACACCCCCGCCATGGCCGAAATTAACCTTGCGACACTGACGCAGGAGCAGCTCGACCGTCTCGTGCGCCAACTCGAAGACTCGGCGCTCGAAATCGCGACACTCACGGCGGAACGTGACTCCCCCCGCCAGCAATCAACAGTGAATGCGCCAGCACCATCACAAGCACCCGCAAATGCACCTGTGCAATCATAAGAACCGATCGTCATCTCATCAGGCACACCGACGCAACACGACAGCGTGGGACAGCGCTCAGGCGCAGCCAGTGATGGCGCCGCTCAATCGATGCCTGGCATGGAGAGAAATAGGGCCGCACCAAGCCCGCGTGGGCCTCGCGAAGCTCGTCGGCACGTAGAGTTTGCAGCAACAAGTGGCAGCCACGACATCATGGCACCAATGCCACTCAAGCCGCAGCGCTCGCCCTGTTTCGATCCGAGCCAACGTGGAGGTCCGACGGTTCAATAGTGGGTCTTCACGATGAACGTTTTCTTCGACGCGAATTACGTCGAGTCGGACGCAGCGAAGATTCGCTACGCTGTTTCGCTGCTGAGGGGCCCCGCCATGGACTGGTGGCGAGTCATCGTGACGTCGCCACGCGCCTACGAGCCACCGTCGCAAGAGGAAGAGCCCACGGGCCCAGCCGTCACCTGGAGTTCATTTTGCGAAACCGCCCAGTACAGCACGTGGGATGCGTGGTGCGCAGGGCTTCGGGCGCGCTTCGAGCCGATCGCGGCTTCTATTTCGGCGCGTCAGAGACTGCGTACTTGGCGGCAGCTCGGATCAGTTCTAAGACTACACGAGCGGTTTTCTCGCATTATGCGAGCAAGTCGGCTACATGCACGAAGCGGAGCGGGTGGACCGTTACGTCGGAGGGCTGAAGCCGGACATCTCGCACGAAATCATATTGCGGGGGCTTGTCAGAGTTATATGACATAGCTACAGTAGGCTATAGTGGGGTAGCACATATGGGGTACAGTTGCCTAGGGTTTGCCTTTTGTACCCAACTTTCACTTAGTCATTTCATTCCTGTTTTCTTGATTCACATGGTATAGAGCGGGTTCCTACATGGGACCGTTCCTTCCTAAGGGCCCACCATAAGAATTTTTTTTTTAGCTGCCCGCGCACATTGCGCCTTGCCCTAAATTTTTTTTTTAGCGGCCCCTACGCTGCCCCTACGCGGCCCCTACGCCGCCTCCCACGCGCCCCCTATGCGGCCCCTGGCGGCGCCCTGACGAGGCCCCTGCCGGCGCCCTATCGCGGCCCCTGACGCGCCCCCTGGTGGCACCCTGACGCGGCCCTGACGCGGCCTGACGCGGCCCCTGGCGGCGCCCTGACGCGGCCCTGCCGCGGCCCCTGACGCGGCCCTGACGCGGCCTGCCGCGGCCCCTGCCGCGGCCCTGAAGCGGCCCCTGACGCGGCCCTGACGCGGCTCTGCCGCGGCCCTGACGCGGCCCTGACGCGGCCCTGCCGCGGCCCCTGGCGGCGCCCTGACGCGGCCCCTGACGCGGCGCCCTGACGCGGCCCCTGCCGCGGCCCTGACGCGGCCCTGCCGCGGCCCTTGACGCGGCCCTGACGCGGCCCCTGACGCGGCCCCTGCCGCGGCCCCTTCTGCGGCCCTGACGCGGCCCTGCCGCGGCCCCTGGCGGCGCCCTGACGCGGCCCCTGACGCGGCGCCCTGATGCGGTCCTGCCGCGGCCCCTGACGCGGCCCCTGCCGCGGCCCCTGACGCGGCCCCTGACGCGGCCCCTGTCGCGGCCCCTGTCGCGGCCCCTGACGCGGCCCCGCCACCTACCTTTCCGGCCACGCCGCCTCCTCTCAGTGGCCCCGCCGCCTCCTCCCAGCGGCCCCGGACGCCGCCCTCTCAGCGGCCCCGCCGAGCCGCCCAGCAGCCTAGCCGCCCAGCAGCTGAGCCACCGAGCCGCCCAGCAGCCGAGCCGCCGAGCCGCCCAGCAGCCGAGCCGCCCAGCAGCAGAGCCGCCGAGCCGCCCAGCAGCCGAGCCGCTGAGCCGCCCAGCCGCCGAGCCGCCCAGCAGCCGAGCCGCCCAGCAGCCGAGTCGCCGAGCCGCCCTGCAGCCGAGCCGCCCGAGCCGCCCTGTCCGGTAAGAGCAGCGCCTCTCTCACAGCACTGCCCTCACCCCACTGTTTGCGCTGCTAGTCTACTGCTGTCATGGCTACCCCTAGTGTCCTCGCTTTTGACGCTGAGGGTCGGGCCATTGACTTTGACGTCTGGATAGATGACCTGCAGCTTTTCTTACAGTGCGATAGGGCAGACGGCCTCTCCCTCTTTGACCTCACTTCTGGTGCCTCTCCTGCCCCCGCCACTGATGCTGACGCAACTGTTCGCTCCCAGTGGGCCACGCGCGATGCTGCTGCACGTCTTGCTGTGCGTCGCCACCTGCCTACCTCTGAGCGTGCGCACTTTAGCCAGTACAAGAGTGCTCAGACCTTGTACGACGCTGTAGTTGCACGCTACTCCTCCCCTGCCACTGCTGCACTGAGTCGCCTCATGCTACCGTACCTCTTCCCTGACCTTGCTGCCTTTCCCACAGTCGCTGACCTCATTACGCACCTACGCACTAGTGACACTCGCTACCGCGCTGCGCTTCCTGCTGAGTTCTGCGCCAAGAACCCCCCCCCCCATGTACATCACCCTCTACTACATAGTCACCCGGCTCCCTGACTCCCTTCGCGTAGTCAGGGACCACTTCCTCTCAGTTTGCCCCACCACTCTCACCGTTGACCTCCTCGAGAAGTCCCTCCTAGCAGCAGAGAAGAGCATAGTAGCTGTAGGAGCCTCTCGTGGTGACCCTCGCACCCCCATCTTTGAGGGGTGTTCCCCCTCCCCCCTTTTGCCCTCTGTTGCCTCTGCTGCTGCGGCCGACCTCGTTGGGCTTGAGTCGGTCGGTGCGGCGTCTACCCCTAGCGGGAGACGCCGCCCTGGCAAGGGCAAGGGGGGCAGGGGCGCTGGAGGAGCTAGCGGGGGCGGTGGAGGCGGCAGTGGAGGCGGTGGAGGAGGTGGGGGTGGCAGTGGGGGTGGTGGCGGGGGTGGAGGTGTCGGTGGCGGCAGTGGAGGCGGAGGCGGCAGCGGCAGTGGCGGAGGGAGCGGAGGTGGCGGCGGTGGAGGAGGAGGCGGCGGAGGAGGTGGAGCTGGTCGGGGTGGCGCTGCGCAGAGGGTCGGCTCCGGTGGTGGTCAGCGCCAGCAGCAGCAGCAGCACCAGCAGCGCACTCGTGACATCCCCTCCCCTCAGCAGCTCCGTGAGTGGTACACTGCACGCCAGAGGGGTGGGGGTACTGGTCCGTGCACCTACGTCCTCCGCACCGGCGACCGCGCGGGTGAGCAGTGCGGGGGTGCGCACTCCACCCAGCGCTGCTTTGGCCGCCTGACGGACGCTTGGCGTCACCAGTTCCCTGAGGCCACTGAGATCCCCCGCTGGGGTGAGCTGTCTAGGGCAGGTGTGGCTGTCTTTGACCTTGACTTTGATGCTATTCTTGCTGCCATGTATACTGTGACTATTAGTGATGAGGGTGACTGTTACCGGTGTTTTCCGCCCGACCCGGGCATTGAGACTGCTGCTCTAGGTACTGGTGAGGCTGCTGCTCTAGGTGCTAGCGAGGCTGCTGCTCTAGGTGCGTCTGCTCCCTCAGGTGCTGGTGAGTCTGCTCTCTCAGGTTCTGCGTCGGCTTCGGCCTCCCACACCTTCACCCTTGACTCGGGGGCTTCTCGCTCCTTCTTTCGA